AATCATCAATTACATAGATATCAGTTTAAAGTCGAAGTACGTAATAGATGATTTGTTGGACGGCCTGACATGTTAGCGTGGGACCTTGCTGCACATTAATCACGAGCAAGCAGGGAATGTTGAACTGCATCATACAGCATAAATGTACAACCGTTCTAAGTACTTTGATTTTTTTTTTTTTATTAGAAGAAAATCAAAACTTGGAAATTCGACACAACTTGACCAATCCACATTTCACAATAAAAAAAATCAAATATCTAAACTTTAAATAATTTTTATAGTAACTTTTATTATTAAACTCCTTAATGAAATTTCGTATTTGACTTTTCGAGTCAACTAACACTCAACTAACTTAAGGTATATTCTCTTTTCTTCCTCCCTTGACAATTTGTTCAAAAAAAAAAAAATCTCTTTAATGAAATTTCATCATTGTAGAAAATATCATCCATTTACATTTAATAAATGTTGACTTGTTCTTTAATGTAAATCAAATTTTTTATCCTCAACGTTGTTCATTAGAGTTTAACTTTTTTTAAGAAATTAATGAAGTAATTCTTTATAAATTATTCAATTCTAATATGAATGCATTCTTTTATACATATATTTTCAGTTACATAATATAAAATAATTTTATATTCTTTAACCCATTTCATATAAAAAAAATTGAGAACATATTTGATTTAAAAAAATAAATAGATGAAAAAGAAATAAAAGAAAATAGAAAAATTAGAAGTAAAAAATAGACTAAAAGACTTAATTACCTCCCTTTTGATTCTCTCTAATATTTTAAATAATTAAATAGAAGATACTTTTTCCTCTTCTCAAACTAAACATATATAATGGAAATTAGATGATGCCACAAAATTTTAAAGTATAATGGAAATTATACTTTTAAAGTATAATTTGATTTGAAAAACATTTTTTTTATTTGATTTATGTATTTACGGCTCTAACCCACTTTAAAAAAGGTTGGCGGCCCATTTCGGTTGTAGTGACCCGGCGCCCACGCGCAGCTGTGATGTGGGCCATTTGTTTCCCGCTGCTCGTTCCTGCCGACGGGCTCTTGTCTTTCTCATTGTCTCCCTCTCACAAACTACAAAAATGGAAAAACATCCACTTGGCCCGGCATTAATGACAGTAGGAGCACGAGACACTTCCTTGGGACTCACAATCTTGAGTTCTAAGCCATTGGGCTATTTCTTGGCCATGGGCTTAGCTTCTTTGTTGGAACCTGCCTTTACCAAAACGAGCAGGGTATGCTAAATTACTAAATAAATCATATTCCAATTTCCAATCCATATAAATAAATTTGTTATTTTGTAAACATGTATCATTTTATAATTAAATTTAAATTTTAAATTTTAAGATTAATACTTAAAAAGGAGTCTTCGAATCCAATGATTCGTCTCTAAAAATTTTTCATTCTCCCATAATTTCTCATGTTCATAAAAAAAAAACAGATTAATACTTAAAAAAATTAATTTTTTTAAATATACTAAATTAATATGAAGAGTGATCCTTAAAATTGACCAATAACGAATTAATCTTAAGATAAGTAAAAGCTGACATAAAAACACTCCAACAATAAATATCATAATAATAATAATAATAATTGTCCTTGAAAATGAATAATACATTCTACATTCTAGTAGGAGATTGGGCAACAATATTCATATTCAGGAAAAATAGCTTAAGTAGCCCACACAATCCGAATTCTAGACATGTTAAACGTGGATTACGAGGGAAAAAACAACTAGAGTTTATTTTGAAAAATAATTAAGAATGAACCATATCCAAACACATGCCTATCTAACTTTCAAATATTTGATAATTGATAACCACATTAATACCAACTTGGTTTAGATGACCCATTAATGACAACTGGACACGTCTCAAATAGTATTATAATGTTAATAATTTAAATATCTGTAATATTAATTATCAACTTTATTTATTGCTTAAAAAGACAAGGTAAATAGGCTGGGGAGGGTACTGTTATTTATTTATTTATTAGTAAATTGCAGCACTTGTCCGATTTCAATATGTAGTCAATTTCAATATGTCTGGTTGTAATCAGGAACTCAGACTAGAATGTTAGATGTTTGTCTTCAGCACTCTTTCAGCTTCTGGAAAAAGTTGGTCGAGATTATTCAGCAAGCTTTTCTGAAGCATGATTAACTGTTCTTTTTTTTTTTTCTTCTTCTTCTTCTTTTTTTTTTTGTAAATGATTAATTATTAAGTTTTTTTTTTCCTTTTCCCAAACTGATCTTAGTGGCGGAGCCAAGAACTTTAATCAAGAGGGCTCAGAATTTTTAAATCTCAAAATAATACATTATAATTTTAAAAGTTTATTTTTATATCATAAATTAAAATAATACTTGATAAATTTTCACATCATAAAATCTATCTATAATATAATTTACACTAAATGTCTGAATTATTTTCTTTTCAATATCAACAATCAAAGAGTTTGAAAGGAATTCATTATCTTTTTTGTTGTGAAATCTTATTTTCATAATTTTTATGACAGAAAATGAACTTTCTGTTATTGCCATAGAAACTGAAAGGATAAGTACCAAAGTAATTAACTTGTAAATGGAATTGTAGACCTCTGATTTTTTTGTCTCCATAAACCATTAACATAACTTAAAAATATTTGATAAAATCTAATAATCCTAATCACAATTTAATTATTTAAGTTATCAGTTATCTCTAGTGAAAGAGATTCTCCGCCTTTATGGGTGAGGATGATAAATATAAAATATGACAACATCTTATCTCTTCACCCTACCATTTTCTACAATCAAACAAATTTTTTTTTTTCCATTTTTACAAACTAACTACATGTTATACCAGTTTATCTTTCAATTGCCTTTTTCTATATCAAAAGTTTTTTCTTTTACAGAGTTCATATATGTTCCCTTTAGGGATCTATACCTTTATTTTTTTTCAATTTTTTTACTCTAATTCTATATTTCTATTCCATATAACTTCAATATATTATCACAAAAAATCAATAAGTTTTATTACTTAAATATTACTCCCTCCATACTAAAATAATAAAATTTTTGTTTTATCTTTAGATTAAAGATTTAGAAACAATTTTTATTTTTCCTATTTTATACTTAAAAATAACTAAAAATAAATTTCTACTTCAATCGTAATATAAATAATCAAACTTAAGAGATAATCATAGGGTTAAAGTAGAAAAAACTGTCTCCCTTAAATTAAACAAAAAAAAAGAAAAAAAAAACTATTATCCTGGGGCAAATTTTAAATAAAAAACATCTATTATTTTGGAACAAGAAAAATATATTAATTTTTGTTGTTAAAATATAACTATTAACAAGCATAAGATAAAATTTTAAAATAAAATAAAATAAAATAAACTTACAAAACTTAAAAGTTGAAACTCAAAACTTATATAAAAAAAGATAATATTATTTTCACCTTTTTTATAGTTGATGGTCCTTCCACTTTCAAGTTTCCATGACAAGAGAATAGTGCACTAGTACTATAATGGCGTCGACAAATGAGATGAACGGGTAGAGTCTCATTTTTTTTTGTTAAAGAATTGTTGGGCCCTTGAGGTTAAAGGAGACTGGGTACTAGAGAGACAAGATAGAAGACACGAGATTTTTTTTTTTTTTTTTTAGAGAATTCTGTAGATAATGGTGGATCTTGAGATGAATTATTTAAATAATATCAAACAATTAAATTGTTAAAATAGATAATAGATCATAAAAATTATATTTGGGCTCTTAAAATAACTCATTATTATTAGCCAACCGGGCCTTGGCCCAATTGGTTGGTCCCAAGTTTTAGGGCTTAGATGAGGCGGAGGTCAGGACTTCGAACTCTGCCACCGTCGTGAACTCCACCAACTTGCGACCTAATGGTCGCGCGTCTCAAATGAGGGAGTGAAACGTTCACTTTCCTAGAAAAATTCCAACTACTAACCAACTAATTCTACTAACTTCCTAACCATCTACCTGGTAAAAAAAAAAAAACTCATTATTATTAAATTTTTTTTAATTTTAATGTTTTAATTATTAAAAATATAATATTCAAAATTTTAATAATAATTAATAAATTAATTATATATATTAATTTTTATTTCAAATCCCAGGGAGGGTCATCGCCAGTGGCCTACAAGGGGCTCCACCACTGTCCCGCCGATCTAGTATTTATTAAGTTGCGCAAATGATCAATAGCAATTTGGACCATTGTGAGGATATGTTTGAACTGCCCCTGCCAAGGCATCATGGATCTAACTTGCCAAACTGAGTTAGGTCAGTAAAGACCGAACTGAGCCCCTCACTTCGAACGGTTGACCACTGATGAGGTTAGCTTTAGTAACAGCTGAACACCCCAATGTAACACTCCATTGGACGTGTGCATCGTACCTGACATGCTTCCCAACAGTCACTATAGCTATGCCATGTAGACACGAGTCACAAACTTTCTGGGCCTGTAAATCTCGGGCATTTTCCCTTAAGTATATTCATTACCTATTCTCTTTCCTACTATTATAGCTAACTAAATTGAATATTAACTTAAGCATAAGAGTGTACATATCTTAAGAATTATTTCGAGTTTAGATTAAGCTATCTTGATCAATTGAGGCTTCAACAAGCAAAATTGTAGAGTTAATTCATGCATTTATAACCTTGAAACGTGTAAAACTATCAATAAATAAAAATTTAAGTTAAGTAAAATCTAATTTTAAAAAGATGAAAATTATTTCTATTATGTACTGCGCGTCATCCATTTAAAAAAAAAGAAAGAAAAGAAATGTAAAACCACGTGGTCATGAAGATAGAAACATATATAGCCGAAAAGGATTTGG